TTCGGCTTGGATGCAACATTGATAAGACAAATCTACATAACCTTTTCATTACTAGTCTGATGAAAATACAAGTGACGACGATTTGTTTTCTAGAGAATGAAACCAAAATTCTCTTTGATTACTCTCAGATTCACAATACATGCTTATTCCCTAGTAAGCTTACATAAGGCGAATTTGAAATAGTCGCTTCATTAGACTTCAAATAACGAATGGTTAAACAAAAAAAGTAAAAGGTTAAATGCCAGAAAGGAACGAAATATTCTTTTAATAAATTAAGAACAACGTTCTAACATTGATATTCATTCGTAAGTCAAGTATATGTTTGAATCAGAGTTACATCAAAAGGGAATTGATCAAGTACAATTATAAACCCAGGTGCAAATGTATTGGCCAATAGTGGCGCCAGAACTTGAGCAAAGTTCATTCCCGTTTGTATTTCTGAAAGCATTCCATTCCCGTTCAATACAGTTCTTCTCCCTAACATGAAAGAGATAGAAGAAAGGGTAACACAGTCTTTTCATATTAATTTTAATAGACTAGTGGTTACTATTGCTAAGTAGTAAAAATGCTGGATAAAAAGTAAATACCACTTTAAAAAGTGGCTACCCCACACAATTTTTACGTATTTTGTTTAATGATTTACAATTCAATTTGTATTTATCTGGAAATATGAAATTTTAGTTCTTGCCTCAGAAACATAAAATAAAAAGAAAATAAAATTTCTTCTCAAACAATAAAAAAGTTTAGTGGCAGCTTATCTTTTTGGCGGGTCCAAGAACTTTTAGATAATTACATAAATTTGAACTCAATTATATATATTTTTTTTCGGAAACTCAATTCTTAAGCCATACAAAGTGATATCTTAGCTTCTTAGAAACACTAGAAATTTTTCTAAACAAATGAGTAGATGATTAGTTTAGTGGCCATTGAAAAGTGTACAAACACATATATCAATGATAAAAGACTACTATAAAATTAGTCCTCTAGAATCATTATTATCTTTTCTAAACTCTGTATTATCATTTCCAAACAATAGTGAATGAACAAAAAATGTGAAAATATAATTTCATTTTGAAAAATATGTAAGAATATTATAATTGGAAAACAAAGGTATTCAAAACTAATACTATGTTAATAGGCAAACAAAAAAACAACATGGACAATGATATGAAAATTTTCAACAACTCTTTATATTCATTAAATATTTTAGCATTGGAAATAAGAAAAATAATTTAGTATTTCATAAAAACTCGTTAGGAAGAGAGATGTAAAAGAACATGTGAAACTTTAGTTACCTTTAAATTTTAATTTTACTATTGGTATTGAAAGCAATTATGCTAGTAGTTCGTAATAATAAATAAATAAAAGAAAAAGAAAAAAGAAACAGGGACGAGTCAACTCAATACTACTCGGGGCTTAGGTTCAGCTCACTTCAATTCTCACCCTTTGTGGTGTCCACAATCCTCCTCATTTCTCAAGTCAGCTAAACGCAACATCTCACTTCTTCTACATAAATAAATAATATATATTTCAGGCCTGTTGTAATCAGTAAATTGGAGAAAGCCGGTTCTGGAATCGGAAGCAAATAGGGGATGGGTTCGGCGGGGAAAGCAATCTACACCGTCGGTTTCTGGATCCGAGAGACAGGCCAAGCCCTTGATCGATTGGGCTGCCGCCTCCAAGGCAACTATTACTTCCATGAACACCGTAAGTATCACCTTCATCTCCATTTTCTCCTCCATTTATTCAATAGAATGCTATACCTAATAAACTAGGGCTTAGGTATTTGATTATTTCACACATCTGTTCAAGTCGGAGAACGCACGCTTTCAATTTTATAAAATTTTTTGGTTGTGCCAGTTCCTATTAGCTGCATTTGCTGTGGTATGTTGTCTGAGCATTGATTTTATTACCTCCGCCTCGGGTATTGCAGTGAAGGTGACATTGCTATGTTTGGTGAAAAATACTGAATTTTGGTATTGTTTTTTTCAGCTGCATAAAGCTGTTAGTATTTGATTAGCTCTTATTTAAGGTGATAATTTCCTCCTGATAACTGTCGACTCTCTTTATAACTTTTTAATGAATTTGGAACAACAAATTATGTTGTTATGTTGATACATCATATACATTTGATTGGTGTTAATATTTTCCTCCATTCCGAATAGACATTCAATGCTCTCTAACTTTGAAACTGTAGTTTCCGAATTATTTTATTGGTTATCATTCCCAAGAAGATGGTTTAGTGGTTGAGACATAGGAATAAAGGATATCAACCTGGAGCTTAGGTTGGAATTCCCTCTATAACACTCAGTATGAGCCTATTGTGCAGCCTTGGTAGACACTAGACAGGATTGCCTGACACTTGTGCTTGTGGGCTGTAGTAGGCTGTCTGATGAATTAGTTGGGCTGTATGCGAAGCTACAATTTTTGTTCAAGAAAAAAGGTTCATTACAAGTATTTGCTGATCCAAGCTTATCGAGAATGATCATATAGAGTAGCTATTCTGAAGGCTACTCATTATACAAGTACTTATCATATATCTTACTATATGTCTAACATATAGTTGTTGTATGTCTAACAATAATCTGAAGAGCTAGATTTAAACTTTGGACCTAACCTAGTTCTACATAATTCAGCTTACATGTTGTGATTAGCATAACTACCTCAAGCTAACTGTGATAAACTATTAAGTGTCTATAAATATCTTCGTCAAATATGGAAGAAGCTGATCGCTTAGAATCCCAGACAAACATTGCCATTGTTGACTGTGATGATCTTATTTATGCTCATATTTGCTCACAATCAGCCAATCTCAATATCTGAGTTTTGCATTCTATTTTGCATATTTTGGCTATACTTCTAGAATTATTTCCTCTTCCAACTTTCTTTCCTCTGTTCTGTTATGATATGTTTTTCCCCTTTAGTCAAACCACATATTTTCATATTTCATGTTGATGTGCTATGTACAATATGGAGTACATCTTCTTTCTTTAAAGTTTTTGAATCTCTACCTCCTTTTGTTTTCCAGTGTCGAGGCATAGAACTTTGATGAACCTGTTTGACAAAGTACCAGTTGTTGAAAAGGATGCATTTGTGGCCCCAAGTGCCTCTATAGTTGGTGATGTTCACATTGGTCGTAGTGCTTCTATTTGGTATGGATGTGTTCTGCGAGGTATGTTCTGCTTCTACATACCATGTTAGTTTCAATGCTTAAAATATCTCTTGTAGACTTAGTGGTGCAAATATGCTGCCCTTATACTGATCGTTTTTGAAGCATCCTTTTTTCAACATTGTAAAATTTTCCTGGAGGTATTTGAGGAGGGGTGAGCAAATCATTTTTTCTTGTCTCATGAAGGCTTTGCCTTTTCTTGAATTATGTGAATGCGTAAACTTTTAGAAGACAACTACATCATGGAGTCCTCTAGATGGTTGAACCAACAGAATGTCCTATACCAAATCTTTATTTATAAAATGTTGTTTGTTGAAGGTTAATTAGCTTAGCAAAGAGAGATTGCTTATTCCCTGAAAAAAATCTTTAATGCTATCCGATAACCTTCTAAGACAAAAATCAATTTCAAGAAATAAGTATCGTATCATATTGGGACAAAAAATTCGTCTCAAGAAATCATCATTTAAGTACCAAGAAGTCATTAAGTTCTGAAAAGCTCCAGTACAGTCTCAATTTTAAAATTGGGATGCTGATTTTCATATCAATAGATAACTATTTTATATTCAAAATTTTCTTTTTCTTGTCTTGGATACTGGATTGTTGATTTATCTTTTTTAGATTCTTGGATTGAGCATTTCCATTGATCATACTCTTTTCAAGGCTAATTCTCGTAGATCCATATGTTATCGTCTTTCTGGAAAAATAATCTGCAAAATTTACACCCTCCCCCTACAAATCTACTAAGCTTGATGACTATACGTTGGGCAAATTTTGGTTTATACGCACTCATTGCGGTCTCTCTATAAAATGCTTTGGAATTGTGTGTCTTGTTTAATGCATGCTGCCAACAATGAATGAGTGAGTATGCTCACAGGTCTTACATTATTGAATAGGATTTTGTCCTTTTCAGTTTTTAACTTTCTTTTGGTTATTATGAACCTACATCTACCTCCTCATATGTTATCACTTCGTCTTTTCAGAGCACCTTAAGGAGAAGAATATATTAACCATACCAAAATTATCCAATTCCGATACCATTTGGTCCTTCAAATCATCATTTTACATATTTGAAAGATTTCACAAATTTTCATCCCAAATTCCATCCCAAGTCACGATTAAATGATGAATTCAATGATAGATTCATGTACTCTAGCCAAATCCGAGTTAGAATCACTTACCCCGATGAATTTCTTGAAAAACCTTCGAAAAATTGCAAAAATCCGAGCACTCTAGGTCAAATATCCAATAAACCCCAAAACTCCTATTTACTAGAGCACCCC